CAGTGACAGACCAGGCTCTGTGCTGGAGGTGAGTGAGGACGAGCAGTGTTTCTAGGACTAAAGTAAAACGGCTTTTTTTTAAAGCCACCTAAAAACCCCTTGACAGCATTTCTTATTTTTCTTTGTATTCCATTTTAAGTGAAAAAAGGCTTAGCCTACAATCTTTAGGGATCAATAGAAGAATCAATTCAGAATTGGAAAATCCATCTTTTTAACAGAGCACAGCTGCAATAACATCAAAGCATGTTGTGGTGCTGATGTAATATCAAAGGCAGCGGGTTTGGAGATGCAGACCTTTGTGTATGCCGCCTCGGTCTCTGCGATGGTACGGTCCAAGTTGGTCCTGGTGATCAGTCTTTGGGCCAGGCTTTCATTCACCTTGCTCAGCTTCTCAGAGAGGACCCGGATGTCACGCTGGAGTCGCTCCTTCTCATCTTCCTCCAGCTTAATCTGGCGGTTCAGCTCGTCCCGCTTCGAGCACAAGTCCTCAATACCTGTTGTTATGGAAACGAATTTCTTATTGACAGAACAGTTGGAAGGCATCTTCTGTAATGTAGCTAAAACCAAAACTAAGAAAGCTTCCATAAATTACACAAACTGGCTTAAACTGGTCTTCCAATGTTAGCTAGCACCGTTTTGTATATATATATATATATATATATATATATATATATAGACATACATACATACATACATACATACACACACACACACGCACGCACATGCATACATATACACACATATATACATATAATCAAGGGTTTTCCTACTCTGAATTAGTATAATCGGATAGCAAAAGGTTCCTAGAAGAAGACTTTTTGTTTAATTAAACTAGGAGAAACTAAAACTTTTCCATTTGAGGAGTTCTGGATAGAGCACATTGACAAAAGAAATGTATTTTTATCTTAAATGCAACGAGTCAACACAATTTCTCCTCACAATTTTGATACAATTATTGCTCTGTCAACTAAAGGCATGTTTTAGGGTCTCTACACTCCAGTTAATGATTAATCAATTACTAAATTATTGGACAATTATTTCAATAATTGATTAATCCCATTCATTTTTCAGCCATATTATGCTAATTGACTTCATAACCATTTTGATGTGAAAACAGCCATGTTGAATAATTACCTCAAACGATGGTTAATCCATGTTCCCCTCATATTAAGGATGCTTTGATACCATGTAATAATTGGACTGTAAACTACACCTAATGCATTTTTTGGTGGGGGGGACAAATCCTGTGATAGAGGTAGTAGGAGAATCAAACAGAAAATCCCCACCTATGCATCTAGTCCATCATAATTAAGGTCTAGATGCATAGGTGAAGATTTCCATTTTTCCCTCTTCACTGAATGCATCATTGGTAACCCCTCCCTCCATTTTTACTTTAATACAATTTTCATCTAACATCTTGTAGTTTCAACCCTGTAGAAAGAAGGTTATGGGTTTGATTCCCAGTCCGGGGTCTTTCTGCATGGTGTTTTCATGTTCTCCCTGAGCATGCATGCGTTCTCTCCGGGTACTCCAGCTTCCTTCCACAGTCGAAAAACATGACTGTAAGGTTATTTAGCTTCCCTAAATTCGCCTTAGTGTGTGTGAATGGTTGTTGTTTCTGTTTGTCTCTGTGTTTCCCTGTGATGGCGACCTTTCCAGGGTGGACCCGCCTCTCAGCTCTAGACAGTTGGAGATAGACAACAGCACCCCTCACGACCCCAACTGGGATAAACTTGATGGAAAAAATGGATCTTGTACTTTCCTATTTTTGCAGTTAACTACAAAAAAATGAATCTCCAAGAGTATCCTCAAAAGGAAGGAAACAAAAAAAAAAGGAAAGTAAAAAATGTTAGATGAAAATTGTATATAGAAAAAAAGGAGGAAGAGGTTACCAATGATGCATTCAAGTAAGAGGGAAAAATTAGATTTTATTACTATCCATCCATCCCTCCATCTATTTTAACATTAAATATTGCATGTAGGGATGCACGATATAATCGGCCCCCTATCGGTATCGGCCTTAAAACTGAATATCGGACATCGGCCACCCCACCGATATTTAACCCGATATTTGATCAGCTTCTGAGTTTCTAAAGTCTAAAAAAATAAATACTACTTCTTCTTCTTCCTCAAAAATGTCTTTTTTACAGACTTAAAAACTTCTAAACACGAGGTAAAAAATATTGTTACATTAAAATATATCCTTCATATGCTGATATATTGCCATTTAAAAACACCATATCAATCTCTTTTACTAATGAAATATTGCTATATGTCATTGTTATGCTATGAAATCCCCCGAAAATTCTCGAAATTTTGCCATATTTTTATATGTTGATATATTGACGCGGTATCGATCTATTTTACTAACAAAATCTCACAAGAATTTGCAAAATATCACGAGAGTTTGTAACAGAACGATGAAATTTGACGAGATTTTTAAACTAAAATAGATCGATACCGCGTTTTTAAAAATCTATTTGATATCAGCATATGAAAATATATTTGAGTATATTATTTTTCAAAGTGTCAGAAATGGATAACAAAACTGCTATTTTCAATGACTACTTATTTTTGTCCAGCTTTAACATCGGTATCAATATCGGTTATCGGCTACATGAGTTTTAAAATATCGGCATATCGGATATCGGCCAAAATTCCAATATTATGCATCCCTAATTGCATGACTTTAAAACTTGATCACATAAGTTTTTAAAAATCATGTCCTTTAAAATGAAGCCTAAAGAAGAAGCTTTAAAATCAGAAAAAATAATAATCTCAGCTGAAGTTTCCTCTGAGGCAAAACCTTCAACAGATTAGGAGAATTTTAGCAGCATCGCTTTCATCCAGTTTCTTCACAGAAACGAAGATGGGTGTTTTATAAAAGTGACTAAATGTTAGGACTGTGACAGATGATTATAGCCACATTGTGGCCCTGTGCACAGAGTTAGATGCTGATTTTAACCCTAATCTGTGAGGATTAATCAGATTGTCCGGTGCTGTCCTGAAGGTAAAGAGAGGAGGACATTAAAAACCAAAATTAGATCTTTTATACACTCAGTGTAATATTTGTCTAACACAGAATTAATGTAAAATCATTTTACAATGATAATTTACCGGGGAGCATATTTAAAACAGAAGCATCCGTTCATCCCCCTTAGAAACAGAAGTTAAAATGAAAAGTAGTTTCCTACATTTGACAAGTTCGTTGTTGTAGGTCTGAAGAGCCGCTGCCTTTTGAGTCATGGCGCTTTAGGCGAACTTTCCCTTCGTAATGAGCTAAATTAGCCTTTTAAACCGACGGCTAATGTTTCTATAGCTGTGTGAGGACAAACAGCAAACGGAGAAAAGTCAACTGACGCGCTCGTCTTACCGCCGCAAAGCTTCTTCTTCTCTCGTTTAAAGGCGGTTGCCTTTTCTTCTTCTTATGTTTTTTATTGGCGGGTGGCAACCAAATTAAGGTGCATTTACCGCCACCTACCGGACTGGAGTGTGACTAACAATGATGTCACAGGGAAGTTATTAATTCATACCTCAATTGTATGCACGAATCTGTATATTATCTATACATATAAATTAATGTGTGTATATTCACGTGCATACGCACACTTATATTATTCATTTAAATACAATTAAATAATCCAGTATTAATAAATAAGTAGTATAAATCTAATTAACTGATTTCTAGCAGAATTAGATTTACTTCCTAAAAGTTTATCATTGAAAATCCAAATTTTTTCTCTATTTAGTGTTGACTTTAAATGCTGACGTTCCTGTGAATACTTATTACATTCTATTAACATATGTTCCACTGTTTCCATCTGATTACAGTGATTACAAGCCCCTGTGTCATGTTTCTCTATTCTGAAAAGAGAACTATTAAGCCCTGTATGACCAATTGTAAGTCGAGATATAAGTGCCTCTATTTTCCTTTTGTACAACTATTACCCCCCACAGTCTTTTGAATTTTATAAAGATCTCTACTAGTGTCATGATTATCCCAATGTTCCAGCCAAACCTTACAGATTTTATTCCAAATTATAGATTTGCCCTCACTTTTGCTTAATGTCACTAAATGACTTGTTTGTTCACATACTGTTTAAAAAAATGCTATTTAGCTTTATTAAAGCACCATCATGTTATTTTGAGTTCATCTTGTCTTAATAAATTATCTTTAATGATTGTGCTAACAGGATAATGATCCCTTCCTATTGTGGACTCTCACACACTATTCACAAGAGCTAATGATTGAACTGGATTCTAATGTTAAATCAAGACAGGACAAAGGTTCTTTATCTATGTCTATTCTTGTTCCCTAACCATTATTAAGGGACAGCAGTGACCTTTCAACCATCATTTCTTCCACTGTTTTACCATTATTTTCCATCTGTCTGCTTCCCCATAGGCTATTATGTGCATTGAAGTTACCACACCAAACTTTTATTTTTTTTATTGATCCTGAAATGTTATTAAATATCTCACTTTCTAACTTTTTACATGGTTTATAATAGTTAAGAATCCTAATATTACCATTTTTTCCTAATTTAAATATTTCTACACTTGACCAGGTACTTGATGTTCTTTATATGCCAATCCATCCTTAATGAAAGCTGCAAAACCTCCTCCATTACTATTGTTACTCCTATCTCTTCTGACTGAACTGTAACCTGGTGTTTTAATATCTAAAGATGTTTTAACCAAGTTTCCTGAACACATAACATCTGGAGCTGTTTCTAGTTCATGAACATATATTTTTTTTAATTCTTGGCCATTAACTATGAGACTTCTAGCATTCCACTGAAGAATATGTAGCACCATTTTATTTTTTTAAATCCTTTTCTCGATCATTTTCAGCTAAGCTCAGAAGTTCGTGAATTTGATCCGGTTGGACCTCTTTCATGTCCAGGAACCGTCCTGCTGCTTCTACAGTCGTTTAGATTTGATCACTTTTCTTTTTCATTTGCACTGTAACATTTATAATGTGACAAATAAATGCCACAAAGTTATCTGTTTTCACCAACATTGTATTTTTATCTACATTAAATTTATGCTTGCATGCATAGCGTTCATCTGTCGAATTGATAATGTTTTGATTCTGTTTTCTTTGTGAGTCATTATTTTCCTGATTTATCTCTCCTTGACTTGTTTCTTAATTCCCCAAGTTCTTTGTACTTTCTTTTCTAACTTTCTTTAATGCCTCAGCATATGAAACCTTCTCTGTTATTTTTATCCTTTGTGCTTGTCTTGGCTCCCTCTGTTATGCATCCACCATATGCTGCACTATGTTCTCCCCCACAGTTAATTTCAATTCAATTCAGTTTATTTCTATAGCACCAATTCACAAAACATGTCATCTCAAGGCACTTTACAGTTCACCAGATCATATGGTCGAATTTATTAAAAGTTTTCTATCTAAGGAAAACCAGTTGATTGCATCAACTCATTGACTCGAATGCAATCCCTCACACTAAGTATGCTTGTAGCGACAGTGGAGAGGAAAAACTCCCTTTTAACAGGAAGAAACCTCCAGCACAACCAGGCTCAGTTTAAGCGGCCATCTGCTGAGGCTGACTGGGGTTCAAGGAGACAGAAGCAGATATGCACACAGCTTGCACACCTTATTTTCTCTTTGCACTCCTTAGCTACATGACCCATTCTTTGACAAACAAAACATCTTATTGGGTTGGGACTGTACTCTCTCACCCTAAAGTTTCTATAGCCAAACTTCACAGATTCTGGAATCACATTCTCAAACTGCAATATAATTGCGATGCTGTCTTTAACAACTCCATCTCTTTTGAGTTTAATCCTCGTTGCTTCACTTATTTTTTCCTCCTTTTATTTATTGTTTGATTTCATCAACAGTCATGTCAAGTGGAACACCTGAAATGACCCCTCTTAATCTTGCAGCTGCGCTAGGGATGTATGTTTTGATTCTTTCACCTACAAAAGTTGTCATTTTGAGAATCTGTTCTTGTTGTTTTTTTGTTAATGGCAGAAATTGATATCTTATGGTTGTTTATTATCCTGGCAGACTTGATTCTTCCAATTTCCTTCTCAATTGCTTTAGTTACTGTTATCTGATGTAAGTATCCTTCCTCTTGTTTAAACTCGACTGTAACTTTCCACTCCTCTTCCCCATTTGCTTGCTCTCCCTGCGTTTGTATTCTTGGACTTTTATTTGTTTTTTTTTTTACTTCTTTCCTCTCTAACCTCACTCCCATCTGACCAAATTCTATCTCTTTCCTCATTTCATGCTTTCTTCTTGAAGACCTAGACATCCTCCACTCCATTTCCTCTCCACTATTACCACCTGATGTGGAAGCCATAAAGCTACATTCAATGTACAGTTCATGCAATCCACCAAAAAGTTTTCAACTCCTACCAACTTCGTACTCCGCTCGCAAACCTCACGTGGCCCAAGGTGGTTGCCTAGCAACAGTTTGGTGTCTAATATATCAGGTTGGATACCACTGATCTCTATTTATTCACTGAATTTCTGATAGACCGAAAAAACCGAAGTCACCTACCGCCATCTTGGTACTCCCCATTTTCATGGATTTGCACCATAAAAATGCATGTCACGCAGAGGTATCAAGTAACGAAGTACAAATACTTTGTTACTGTACTTAAGTACACTTTTTAGGTATCTATACTTTACTCAATTACTTATTGTTCTTCCTACTTCTTATGTCTACTCATTACATTTTCACAGAAGTATCTGTACTTTCTATTCCTTACATTTTTAAAACAAATGTTACTTGTTACTCTTTGCTTCGGTTTAATGTTTATAAATATTTATTTCATGTCATGTGCGCTATCCAGTGCAGATTTTGGCGCCATCAACATCTAGTGAAAACTAGTGTAATTGGATGAGTCATGTAACGCAAACACTCATTGGTTAGCTATTCGTCAAATTTGTGCTAACGCCAAAGGAAATCATCAGAAGCAAGCAGGTGTTCTTCAAATTGCAAACGTGAATTGTCTATGCCATGCTACAATGTCGGATTCAGAAGAAGATGTTGAAATGTCTGAAAGGTCGGACACAGGCGAGAGCGTATCAGGAGATGGAGACCAGCAAGACCTCCCTCATCCTTGGCCCTATCTCAGAGAATTTAAAAAATAAATAAAAAATTTGAGCTTTCAATTCATATAGTGGCATCTGGCTGTTTTTTTTAAAGGTTACTTTATACTTTTATAGCTACTTTGAATAATTTTTGGAGCACATACTTTTTCACTTTTACTTGAGTAAAGAGGTCAAGTTGATACTTCGACTTTTACCTTAGTGTTTTTAAACTGCAGTATCTATACTATCAAATGCGTGTACTTTTGACACGACTGACCGTTCTCAGAATCTGTAGGAAAGCAGGTACACTGAGTTTTGGCTCCTTAACTGTGACAGCAGGTTTAAGCTATTGAGAACTTGACAGGTTGTGAGATGAAACCCTTGGTTCAGAGGGTTCAGTATTCATAACACACAAGAATAATTCTACAGGTGTACAAACAGATGGGATTAGCAGGAATCTATAATTGGGCAGCTGAGACTTGATTGATGCCATGGAATCAGAAGCAGAAGACAGGATCTGAAGGTCAGACTTGAATCAACTGTTAAGGCACAGAAACATGGTCAAACACTGGGAGACAAGATTCAGACTGACAAATACAAAGGAAAGGCAGGAGGTAGTAATCTGGAAATAGAGGCAAGGTTGAGGTCCACAGATCAAAGATCAAAAGCCTGTAGAATATCTGAATGCGAAAAAGGGAAAGAGGGAAATCTGGAAGGCAAAAACTTGATCAAGATCAGACAGGGAAAGAACGCTGGATATTTTCTTACACAATGGCATTCGATAATCTGGCTTAGCTTGTCTTTCAGAATTCAGTATGAATTCAGTGAAACCTGGAATACAGCTGTTAACAGTGATTCAGTCAACTGCACCACAGAGGAGCAGACAGGCAGGCCAGAATCTTGACAATATCATTGTTTCAATATTTTTATTCGGTCCAATTTTTATGTTCAATGCTCACTTTGTTTTGTGAAATGCATCATCCAAATGAAGAAATGTGGCTTGGGTTAGTTTTAAAAGGTTAAATAAAAACAAATGTCCTTGGATCATAACAGATAATAGACTTATCAGCAAGACATCTAAATAACTGATAAAGTTTGATTTGTTTTACCTGCTCAAGAATGACATACGCAAGCAATTATTATTAAAACAAACCTATTTTTGATAAGAAACAGATGTGTTAATCATAGATCCAAAACTTAAAAACAGTTTGGTATACATCCTTATTAAAATAATGCCATCTGTTTTACTAAATGATTTGAATTTAAATAATATATAAATATATTGGAACAGGATTTGGGCCAATTTCTTGTTGAAACAGTT